TGTGCGTAGTGATCCCCTGTCCTTGTGGCTGGGTAGAGTTCGTTGACCTTTTGCACGCTGTATTTTTGAGAGCTGGGAGCCAAGTTTTGTTGAGTTTCAAACTTCCCTCTTTTTTGTTGAAGTTCTACTGGTGCCTATGGATTTCAATGGCTTCCCTGTGCAGTCTGACATAATGATTGCTGGTGTTGTCCAGTATTTCGGTATTTTGAAATAGAAATTCATGTCCAGTTTGTTTTAGGGCATGTTCAGCTACTGCAGATTTTTCTGGTTGTTTTAGTCTGCAGTGTCTCTCATGTTCTTTGATTCTGGTGTGGATGCTTCGTTTTGTGGTTCCAATATATACCTGGCCGTAACTGCAAGGTATCTGGTATACTCCTGCAGTGGTGAGGGGGTCCCTTCTGTCCTTTGCTGACTGCAACATTTGTTGTATTTTTGTGCTGGGCTTGAATACTGTTTGTAGGTTGTGTTTTTTCAAAAGTTTCCCCATGTGGTCTGTGACCCCTTTGATGTATGGCAGAAATATTTTATTTGTGGGTGGCTGTTTTTCTTCTTCAGCTCAGTGTTGTTTTCGTGGTTTGATGGCTCTTGTGATTTAATTTTTGGAGTAGCTATTTGCCTGTAGGGCCCAATTGAGGTGGTTGAGTTCAGTGGTGAGAAACTCACAGTTCCGATTGTTTTGATTATGCCTCTTTTTTGCTTAAAATCATTTCCTTAAAATCATTTATACTGCATCTTTTGACTAAAGTGTTTTAATCATCTAAAGGTAGTTAAATAGTAGGTAAAGTTTCCTAAAGATGGGAATTGTCATTCTGATAGTATGTAGCAAAGGCAAGATCTGTACTACTGTTTCTTGTGTACCACTGTGATTGTTCCACCCTTTCATGGATTAATGTGTAGAATTTGCACCTGCATAATATAGAGAGTTTTTTGGATTATTCTGAAAAATTAATTGCAGCTTGGATTATAGAGTGAGTGTATTTGAACACTGATATCGGGGTAAACATCTACAGGGTTGGTACTGCATGTAAAGGAAATCAAAGATGCATGGCAAGCTTTTCACATTCATAACATTGTGTGTGTATTTGATTATGAAGCTTTTATGTACAATCACTTAGAGAAGAAATGTAAATAGAATTCTAATAGGAACTCTCTGAAATGTAGGAGAGAGAGAGAGAGAATATAACTAAACAAACATTAATAGGAGCTTGGCAGATAAGAGGATGGGTATACGAGCTCATCTCATTCTTCAAGGCCCTCAAGAAGGGAGATCAAAAAAGTAAGAGGCTGTGTGTTGCAAATAATACCCATTGTTTACCACATATTTAAAACTGGCATAAATAGCCCAGCTTGTATTTCTATGGATAAGTAGCTTACCTTTCTCTGTCTGTTCTAAAGAGGCACTGCAACTGCATGGAGTCCCATGGGAATTTATGATAAATTCTAGCAGCCATTCACAGAGCAAGCTCACTGACTTCCTTTGAGGATAACAGAGATAATAGAAGGCCCCTCCTGTCATATTAATGCATGCAGTTGTTTCTTGGAAAGGATCCCATTATCTTTTTCTCCTAACATATATCAGCTTGCATCTGTCATCTAATCTACAATGCTTATCTCAAGGTGAGAACTTCTTGAGATGCCCTAGTACATCTTTTCAATACCTGATGCTCATGCCTAAGTCAGAGTATGTAGATTTTCCATCTTACCTGCCAGCCTAAAAGTGTTGCAGCAGACATTTGTGTTCTAGTGGTTTCTGTGGGGGCAGGGGGTGGGGGCAATATTTGCCTTAATACAGAGGCAGTGGTGATTGATTCAGAAAAAGCCAGATGTTTAGAGGGTGGTTGAGCATTCAGTGGATAGATAATAACTTTGAATGAGATAGTGACGAGGCAGTAAGAGGAACAGATGAAACTGAAATGCTGCTTGTCCTGGGGAGAGAATATGCTCATGGTGAAGGCAGGCAATGTACAAACTGCAATCTTCTGCATAATCTTGAAAGTAATGTTTATTCCGCCTCCCTGCAAATAAGTTTTTTTAAAAGTTCGTTATTGTTACAGTACTTGCCTTGTCTGAAATCTTGCTCTTTCCGAAGACACAAACTTTTATTTTGGGGAAGGGAAGGAAAATGTGTTTGTATCTATTGCAGGATAATTGGATATAGGCTACACATAGGACATGATAAGGCCTCTTTGCATATGAATGTAGAACACAAACTAAGGAAATATTTAGGTCTCGCAGGAATTGGTGTGGGGTATACCAGAGCGTAGAAGTAATTGGTTATAACCAATCACCTGGAGCTATTTATCTTTGGGGAAGGCGAATCTAACAATATGATCTCAAAATACTGTCATGTATAAGTTAATAATGATGATTTTTTATGTAATGATTAATGTTTCCTGGTTACTTTGAAATGGGTTTAAACATCATTTAAAGGTATCTGGAAAATAATTTGGAACAATGTTTCTGTAGATCGTGATCTATTTAATAACCATTCTCTTAAGTGGCTTAGGAACTATAGTTTTGGTTCAGTGTCTGTATTTTGAGGGTGCAGTATTAGGATTAGCCACTAGGGGGACATATACAGAATTTCCTCCTATTTCTGGGCAGTGGTAATAACCCATGTAACATGTTAACAGTGAATACTGCAACTAACTGCATTTGCTACAGGGTACCGACATGGTGACTTGGTTATTGCCAAGTATTAAGTAATGCAAGTAGCTCCTTAAAAAAGTAGCTCCTTAAAAAAAAGTTCCAGGCTCTGGGTGTAACATACTGTAAGGATGTTACACCCGGAGCCTGGGTGTACAGTAAAGCATGAGTTGATTCATTCCCCTTGAAGGATGCAAAAGGAAATTCAGATAGGAACGGGCATTTGCTTGCTGCCTTATTCAGAAAAAGTGACACTGCAGACAAAGTCCGTTGTATATTTGAAAGCTTTTAAAGCTATTAGTTCTGAGGCCATTTCTACCCAAGGGGGTTACAGTACTGCAGTAACTATTGCCGCATCCTCCTCCATTTGTCCAAAAAAATAAAAAAAATAAAAAGAAGGTTCAAACAAGCTCTGTCAAATTATACAATTGTTTTTCCTCAACCAAATCCACCTGGATTTTGTTATGGAATCTTAGGCCAGAAACTAACTTAGATATTGATAATTTTAATGAGAGCTTAAAGCAGGTAATGTTGCAGAAAAGTAATTGAGATAGTCTTTTCATGTTCAAAGGAGTCATGTGCTAATTTCCAAAGACCGATCACCAAACAAAGCAAGTGAATTAGCAACCCTTAAGGGGTTATATTAGCTAACAATTGTGCCCTTCTAGTCACAGGCCATCTCTTAGATCTGTTTCTTCACTGAGACTGATTAAAATGAGTTCGATTGCATTAAAATTTAAAGTTGCATAATGGACCTGTTATTCTTAGAAGGCATGGCCTGATGTAATGTATGGAAGGATTCAAGCAGGAAATTATTATATTGAAAAGTATGTGGTATGGCTTTACCCACCTATTTGTTTACACACTCACCATTCATGGCTGTTTAGGATTGTGTGAGTTGACTGGGTCTTTAGTCTTGGTAGGCAAAGGGCAATAAGGGATGTATCCTTTAAAGGTGGAAAAGGGGTTCAACTTTCAGGACTGCTTCCATAAAGAAGAGTGTCCTGATTTATATTCCTTCCTCTGAGGAGACTCATTCATGCAACATGAGAATGGTCACTTATTCAAGAAAGGCATGTGAAGAGCAGGGAACCGTAGCCTGTCCTGCCATCCGTGTGTTACTCCTAAAATGTTATTGGGAGTTTGCAGGGGACTTGGAATAATTTATGTCTTTCACACAAAAGGGAAGCTGAAAGCAATGCACTAGTAACACAGTGAATTGTATTTGAATAAAAAAGAAGAAGCAAAACAAAGCAGTTTTCCGCCATTATAATAAGTAACAGGAAAAAATTATTTTTAAAATGCAATAATTCTGTCTTTTGTAGAGTTGTTGTTTTAACTACATCTTCCAGAATGCATGCTGGTCCTGTGGCCTGGGAGATTCTGGAAGTTGTGGTCAAAACCAAATCTGCACCCCTTTCTTTCTTTCTTTCTTTCTTTCTTTCTTTCTTTCTTTCTTTCTTTCTTTCTTTCTTTCTTTCTTTCTTTCTTTCTTTCTTTCTTTCTTTTGGTACACAAAACATGCATACTATTACTGAAATAATGCTCTTCCCCTCCTTTGCAGAATAAACACACTGGAACACAAATAGGTAGACCTACATTGTTTACTACATTGTCCATTTCCATACCTAATTCAAAATGCTGGCCATAGCTGATAGAGCCCAATGCAGCTTGGGTGCAGGGCTGTCTAAAGTATCAGTGCATATGAGCCTCTCTAGAAACTACCGTACATTATCTTTTCTTGGTCCTGCTGTCTTCCCAACCTCACTTGCTGAGGACATGAGAAAAGGCCTTTACGGTGTCTGCTCCCAGGCTGTGAAACAAAATTCCGGAGGCCACATTATTCTCTGCCCCCCCCCCCAATTCTTGTCTTGTTGCCAGCAGGCAAATGCTCTTCTATCTAGACAGGCTTTCAATTGATTCTGAGAAGTCAGTGTTATCACAGGATGCTATATACTGTACACATTTCCTCCCTATTGATCTGACATTTGTACATTTCTAAGTGTTTCTAAATAGTAGGTTTTAATACTATCTGTTTATAATATTACTATGATAAAGTTATCTCTAAGTTATAATTCAGCCCTTAGTTCCATACAAGATTTCCTCTGCCTTTAATTATCCCCTTATTTGCAATCACTAGTTCAAAAATAAAAGCAGCAGAAACGTGCTTCCAGTTGGGAAACTACACAAACCACAGGTTCCCCCATCAGTGCTCTGGATTAGAAATAGTTTTGTTACATGGAAAGCAGCAGGTACTGCCTGAGTGCTGAGAGCAGTTGTGTTGAATAAGTTGGTCACAATAGGAATGCTTCTATTGAAAATTATTTGTTTTTCTCTGGGTCTTATCATTGCAGACAATCTTCCCAGCATGTCTCCTATCAGCAAAGATGTCTCCATTAATAGAGAAAATTAGTGATCAAAAGGACTTCAAGAAACTCCTGAGAACACGGAATAATGTATTGGTTCTATATTCCAAATCCTGTGAGTGTTCCTTATTTGAATCACACTGTTAATATATGGCTGGCTAAGTGAGAAGGTGAAAAAAAAAAGAAAGAATCTTTTTTAAAAAGTCAGTTCTGGACTTGTTACTTAAGGAATAGTCTAATGATGCCTAATGAACCATTTTACAGATTGAAAGCATTTGCTGATTAACCTGAGAATTTATTCTCTAAATCCATTTCTCTCATGCTATTTTCATCTGCTGCATGACACTTTAGATAAGGTTTTTGTTTTATTCAATTGCCTTTATAAATATATACAACACTGCAGTTTTGTTTTATGAGGGCAGACATATAAAAAGGAAGAAGGCCTGTCTCTGAAGAGAGAGCTAGAGAGTTTTCATTTTAACACCACACAAGTCATGCTTACAACTATTTCACCTTGAGGCACTCTTCCTATCATTCTTTCCCTGCTATTCTCAAACGTTCTAAACATGTTCTCTGTTGTAGTAACCGCTACTAAATTTTCTTTTATCTCTCAAACTTTACATAAACACTACATTAGCCACATGGATGCACAAGAAAAATCTTCTGGTCTCTCTGCTGCTTGTCTAAGACCTGCCTAGTTGCTGTTTGTTATCCTTTTCAGCATTTGCTTGTATCTCCCCCCTCCCCCCTCTGCCCATTTGTGCTTTTGCATCTTCTTATGCTTCACTTACTCTTGGAATACCCATTTTAACTTCTTGCCTGGTAGTCACCCACTTGCTGTCTCTTTCAGTTACAATCAACTTCGTTTGGTTACAATTTCCCAGCTGGTTTTGCCTCCTTCCTCCGCGCAACTCCCCCTTTTCTGGCACTGCTTTCCTTCTGTACTTTGATTGTCTGGAGTGGCTTGTGAGCTGCTCTTGGCTGTTTGCGAGACCATGGCCCATTTACGACACTGTGCGCAGGAAGGCTAATTATGCCCAGTGTATAATGGCTGTGATATTTACTTGGGCCAGAGATGTACGATCTGCACATTAGCTCAGAAATTAGACCAAATTGGTGTCCTTATTACTTCCGGACTCTCTCTTCTCCCTTTTCAGTCTTCAGGGGAGGAAGGAACCAGACAAGAAATTTTTGCTTTTTAAAAATTTATTAGACAATCCAGTCCTCAAATTGTGCAGTCTTAAGGGTCCCTCTTCAAGTCTGAATAGTACCTGCTGAGTACGAGGACTAGTCCTGAGTAGCAGATATGATGATGGTTACCTTTGACAGCATAAAATAAATTTAAAGAATTTGGATACAAGAGGTTTAGGCTAAAGGGCAGAATTTTATCGAATCCTGTGTAACTGAAGGTTGCCTTTCATTGCTGCCTTTGCTAAGATAGAGCCTCTACTTTTGCTTTACTAATTAAATAACAGATTCTTGATTCCAAACTATGGTTAAGGAAGCTTAACTATTGCTGACATAGTTAATGTGGTACCTAAATTGGCAAACTATGATTTTGAGATTGACCATCAAATAAGAATTGGCTGCCATCATTTAAAGCGATTTTGCACACCATAGATTACAGTATATGAGTCACATCTGCTGTGATTTCTGACACAGTACCTAACATTACTGGACCCCGGAAACTGTCATGCCTCATTTCTTTATTTCTGTCCTTGGAAGTGAAGACCTGCTAAGCTGCTGTTGTCAAGGAGTGTAGTTTTCCTGCAGTAACTATACTGCTTTTTTTCCCACTTATATTTTTAGAATTTCTGATGTTTTTTTAAAAGTTGTGTGCTACCTTGGGTTCTTTTAGGAAGAATAAAAAATTGCACTCACAGGCAGTGCTTCAGCAGAAATCAGACCCACTGTGTCAAACAGGAGATACTTTGCACTAGATGTTTGCAGTAGTATATCAGCATGTTGAATTTTACACTGCAAGCCCCTCATGGCAAAGATGTATACCGTTTTGTACGTACTTTGCAAATTGTCAGGCATGCTGATGGTACTATATAAAGAAATAATGTTATAAATAAGCACATTGGTTATTGCAAAATTATACATATTCAGTATGCCATGAATAGAGAGCAGAAGGAGTTGGACTGCCTTAGGGGTTTGTATTTAGGGCATCTATTAATTCCCATAATTGCATATATACACATATTAAAACTTTTCTTTCTTGCTTGTGAATTTGTAAGTCAAGTCTTCGAAATTCTAAAAGGATATAGGGGCTGGACTGTACACGGAATAGCCTGTGTTTTTAAGTGGCCATCTTGGAAGTCCAAAACAATGTCATGTACTAGACCCAGGTCATCAATGCATTTGTGAAAGCCTACATATAATTTCCAATAAGTGCAGTGTCCATTTGTAGTTTTTTTTTAAAAAGAGACAGGAGAAATAATGTCATGTATTAGTGGGCCCCCATCCATTGGCTGAAAGGAAATATCCTTAGAACTGAGATCCTTGTCTCTTATCTTTTTTGTAGTATCAGTACATGCTGTTTGCTTATTACAGTGGTACCTTGGTTTACGAATGCCTCGGTTAACATAATTTTCAGTTTACGAACGAAAATCTATTGAAAATAATGCCTCGGTTTATGATTTTTTTCTGCAATATGAAGCAAGTTTGCATTGCACCTGGGAGGTTTATAGTGCTCCCCCCCCCCCCCCCGTGTATGCATTCCTATGAGAAACTGAATGAGTATTCTTTTTCTTTATTATTTTTAACTCACTAATGAGTGGATTGCCCAATAGTTTTAACAATATCATAAGACAGAAATTAATGTTTCCTAAAAAATGCCCTTGAGCAGCTCCTCCTGTTGTATAAAATGTTGTGATTTTAATCTTGATGCTTGCAAGAGATCTGAACTGAATTTGCCTATTTAAAATGAAGAGTTGTATTTTTAGCATGAAGTGACTCAGTTAAAGCTAAAAATATCTAAATAAATGGGTGAGAGTTAAGTTTGTGAAATATTTGTGAAATATCCACTCCTAATGACATAATTAAATGCGGTGGTGATCATTTTAGCTGCATTTGCATCTTTCTGCCTTAAGAAGGATAGTGGAGAAAGAGGAGAATCTGAACCAAATGATGGCTATGAAGTTCTTTGAGGACTGTTTTTACCTTCTGTTGTAACTAGTGGAAACTATTTCAACTCCCTCCTCCCCCTCTCTCTTTCTCTCTGTGCATGTGCATGTGTGTTGTGAAGTTTCCAGAACTACGAGGAAGGTTCCTACCCAAGGAATTGCAAATAAATTGGGAACTCACCAGAATGAAGTGTAGAATTGGGAACTGCTAGGCACCAATTCTGTAGCTGCCTATCCCTTTTCTAGAACACCACCTTGCCCTGATCTTGGCCGTGTGTTAGATCTGGCTTTTCCCTTGCAATTAGGGCTCAAGGCAAGCAATGAGGCTTGTGAGCTGGGCCTCAGGTTTGTGAGGGCTCCTGAAAGTTGTTAATTTCCCATTCCTGGAAGAAAGCTTGCTTGTTTAGGGTGAAATTTTCCAGTGGCCAAACATTTAAAAGGAGAAACAAATTGAAGTGTGGTCATGCTTCACAGAGTGGAGGAGATAATGCATGGCATTAATATTATCCATGAAATTTACTTTTGCATAATGTGTTAATAGCCACCAACTTCAACAGGGGTTTTAGTATGTACTGAAGTATTCCTTTGTTTATTGGCTGCTAGGGCTAGGGTTGCCAGATACATGTGTATGAAAAGGAGGACATAGAAAGCCAAAAAGGAGGACAAAGGGGGGCTCTGTGCATGGGGTGGGGTAGGGTGGGGGGCATGTCACTTTTGGAATTAGGTATTGGGGAGAATAGCTCTTTGATCATGGGGCAATACCATAGCCATTCAACCTAGTCAGTCTTGAAAGGTCAAGACTGGGAAAGTTACATTTTTTGGACTACAAAACTCAGAATCCACTGGCCACTGTGTTTTCGTGTTTTTAAAAATG